ATGAAATATTCTTAATGATAGATCAGATACTAGGCTACAAAGCAAACCTCAGGAAATTAAAAAAAATGAAATCATACTATGCTTCTTCTCTAAAGACAATGGAATGAACTTGGAAATCAGCAACTCAAGAATCTCTAGAACATATGCAAACACTTGTATACTGAACAATATGCTCCTGAATGAATAGTGGGTCACTGAAGAAATAAAAAAAATAAAAAAAAATTCTGGAATGAATGAAGATTATGGGGAGCAACTCGGACTAGACTAAGTTACTGGAATTAAGACTTATTCTATGCATCTGCTCTCCCACAATATGGCGCTGAGAAGGGAGTAAACAACTTCTATGCAGCTGCCTCTCGCCAACTTGAATGATGACCTGCAGGAGCTGATCCTGCTCCTGATTGGAGGAGAGCAGCGTACTCGGCATGTGGGTAGCAGAGTTGGGATTGGTGGAAGATACCAATACAATACATCAATACAATACAATACATCAAAACTTAGGGGATATAGCAAAAACAGTGTTAAGAGGAAAGTTTATAGTAGCTGGTAACTACATGGAGAAATTGGAAAGGCACCAAATAAATGAGCTATCAGTGCATCTTAAGGTCCTAGATAAACAACAGCAAACCAAACCCAAAACTAGTAGGAGAAAGGAAATACTTAAAACTAGAGAAGAACTGAACAAAATTGAAACCAAAAAAAGAATACAAAATATCAGCAAAATGAAAAGTAGACTTTTTGAAAAAATAAACAAATTGATGTGCCATTGGCCTAAGTAACCAAAAAGGAGGAAGAAAACCAAGAAATAAAAGTAGAGTTGAAAAAGGAAATATAATAACAGATACCCCCCCCAAAAAAAAGAATCATCAGAAATTACCACAAAGAGCAGTATGCAAAAAAATAGGGAAACATAGAAGAAATGATTAGATTTCTGGACTCATACAATTACCTAAATTTAGCACACAGAAAACCTAAACTGGCCAATAGATAGAAACTGAATCAATAATAAAGACAATCCCAGCAAAGAAAAGTACAGGACTGGATGGCTTCACTGCTAAATTCTACCAGACATTTAACGAAGAACTAAATACAATTCTTCTCAATCTATTCAAAACAATTGAAAGAGAGGGAATCCTCTCCAACTCCTTCTATGAAGCCAGCATCACCTCATTCTTTAAACCTGAAAAAAATACAACAGAGAAACATTGATATAAAAATCAACAAAATACTAGTCAATTGAATCCAACAACACATCAGAAAGATCATTTTTCCAGAACAAGTGGGATTTATCTCACATATGCAGAGATGGTTCAATATATGCAAATCAATGTGATACCTTGCATTCACAAACTGAAAAACAAAAACCATATGATTAGCAAATAGATGATTTCAAAGCTCTCTATGATGAGAATTACAAATCATTAAAGAATGAATAGAAGAAGACACAATAAATCCAAAATGGTCCCTGTTCATGGATTAGAAGAATCAATATCATCTAAATGACCATACTGCCAAAAGCAATTTACACATTTGATGCTATGCCAATAAAAAATACCAAGGACATTCTTCTTAGACATAGAGAAAATGATACTGAAATCCAGATGGAAACACAACAGACCTCAATAGCTAAAGGAATCTTATACAATAAAAACAAAGCCAGAGGCATCACAATTCCAGATTTCACAATTTACTGCCAGACATGTATCATCAAAACATCCAGGTACTGCAGGAAAACAGATGGGCAGACCAATAAACAGAATAGAAATTACAGAAATAAATCCATATATCTACAACCAATTTATCTTTGACAAAAGAGTGAAAATCAACCCCTGGAGTCTCTTCAACTGGCATAGACAAAGAGTTCTTGGAAAAGACCCCAGATGCCCAGTGAATCAAAGGCAAAATTGGTAATTGAGATTATATCAATGAGAGAAGATTCTGCACTGCAAAAGAAACACTCAGCAAAGTGAAGAGGCCACCACAGAATGGGAGAAATCATTTACAAACTATACCACTGATAAAGGATTAATAACCATAGTATATAAAGAACTCAAGAAACTGAGCAACAATAAAAGAAACAATCCAGTTAAGAGATAGGCAAAGGACTTAAACAGTTAATTTTCAAAACAAGAAATCCAAATGTGTCAACAGACACATGAAAAAATGATCAGGATCACTATCTATCATGGAAACACAAATCAAAACCATATTGAAGTTTCACTTCACATCCATTTGAATGGCTTTCATACATAAGTCAACAAACAATAAATCCTGGTGAGAATGTATGTAAAAAGGTACCCCAATTCACTGATGTTACAGCAACATTGGAAGACAGTATGGTGATACTTCAGAAACCTGAATATAGATCTACCATGTAACCCAGCCATTCTGCTCCTGGGATTTTGACCAATGGAATTAAAAGTTGCATATGCAAGAGTTATCTGTACCCTATGTTTATTGCAGCTCAATTCACAACACCTAGGATATCTAATCAATCCAAATGTCCATCAACTGAAGACAAGTTAAATTATGGGGTATGCACACCATGGAATACTACACAGCAGTAAAAAAAAAAAGAAAACCTATCAGTTGGAAAAAAAGGATGTAACAGGACAACATCTTCCTTAGTGAAAAAAGCCAGGCCACAAAAGTTAAATATGGTCTCTATTATCAGCGATAACTAAGAAAACACCTAAATAGTAATCTATAGAAGTGGAATTAACATTTTGAGATTTCACAACTTTGAAAAACACTTGTCTTGACTGTTGAGAAAAGTTTTTTTCATGTACTTTGTGGAACTCTTAGTATACTTCATTGAATGTGTATAAAGTTAATTGAAAATAGTTCTTAGGCCGGCGCCGCGGCTCACTAGGCTAATCCTCCGCCTAGCGGCGCTGGCACACCGGGTTCTAGTCCCGGTTGGGGCGCCGGATTCTGTCCCGGTTGCCCCTCTTCCAGGCCAGCTCTCTGCTGTGGCCAGGGAGTGCAGTGGAGGATGGCCCAGGTGCTTGGGCCCTGCACCCCATGGGAGACCAGGAAAAGCACCTGGCTCCTGGCTCCTGCCATCGGATCAGCGCGGTGCGCTGGCTGCAGCGCGCTGCCCGCGGCGGCCATTGGAGGGTGAACCAACGGCAAAGGAAGACCTTTCTCTCTGTCTCTCTCACTGTCCACTCTGCCTGTTAAAAAAAAAAAAAGAAAATAGTTCTTAGTAAAAATAAGACTGGGAGTAGAAGAAGGTGGAGGAAGAAGAGTGGGAGTGTGAGGAAAAATCACTATATTCCTAAAGTATTTACAAATAAATGAATAAATTGTTAATTCCAAAAAATGATAAAAGTTGAAGGTCTGACATTTCCTTAATCCAAAATAAAAATAACCAAAAAGTATCATATTAGCAATAAAACAGATACACAGACCAAAGGAGTTGAATACAGAGAGACTAAGAGTGGGCATTTGGCCTCTCAGTTAAGATGCTTGCATCCCATATTCCAGTGTTTTCATTCAATTCTCAGCTCTGGCTCCTGACTCCAGCTTCCTGTCAATGCAGAATATGGGAGAAAGTGGTGATGGGACAAGTAATTGGGGTCTTTGCCACCCACAAGGAAGCCAGGATTATGTTTGTGGATTCTGGCATCTGGCTCTGGTTCCAGTTCCATCTCAGACCTGGTCATTGAGATGAGAGTAGCATTCATTCCATCATTCTCCCTTTTTTTCTCTCTCCCTATGCCTCTCAAATTAAAAAAAATATATTAATACTAAGGACAATCATTTAATATAATAAGCTATGCTAATAAAAGAAAATCAATCTTTGATAAATTCATTGATAGAGAAAAAGCTGACTAAATTCAGCTTATGATTTAAACCCTAAACAAACTGAATTGAAGAGAATCTCGCCACAGGAAGGGCGCCTATGTAAAATCAATAGTAAATTCCTTCAAAATGTGAATGAGGCATAGATATTTTAACACTTCTATACAGCAATGTAATCGATGATTGTGCTAAAGAAATCATACACACACAAGGAAAAACTCCAGATTGCATACAAAAGAGCAAACATGCCTTGTAACATCTAAGACATATTTGCAAGCAAGAGACATTCTGAGGTATTCACTAAAATCCCAAAGTAAAACTCAGTGATGTTCAGAATATAAAATAAAGATATAAGCATGAATCGTATTTCTATACAGTAGCAATGAGAATCATGAAAATACAATTAGCATTAGCATTCAATGTAGCATCAAAGTGAAAATATTACTAAGAAATTTAAAAAATTGGATTTTATACTAGAAAAGAAAAATATAAGAGCACGCAATTTTTAAAACACAGCAGTGATTTCAGTAAGACATTTTAATTTTAATACAGAAAAAATATGGTTGCTATTAGTCATTGAAAATGAAATCAAATCTTGGGAAATATATCAATTCATATATAGTAAAATGATTCAGCCATAGACAAATGTTGCCAGGGACAGGAAGAGCATGGAACCCTCATAAAATTCCAGTGCAGCCATTATGGACAATCATTTGGCAGTTTCTCAGCATGTTCTACATGGGACTGTTTATTGCCTCAGTAGTTTATCTCCCAGGCATGCCACCAAAAGATACAAAATCCACACACCAATAAAGGTTCACTGCAGCAATATTCATGAAAGCAACCCAAATATTAATATGTAAGAAAAACAGCATGCTGTATATCTTTTGTAATGGCATACTATTTGGCAATACAAATCAATTAAGAAATGAACGACCACAAAAATAATGAAAGTCAACATATTTTAAGAAACAGAGGAAATCAGAAGCAAAACCCCACACATTGTAGCATATCCAAAAGAATGGCTGACCTCTGGAGACTGAGTTTAGATTAATGCCTGTCTGGGGCTACTGGTGGATGAGGAGTTATTGTAAATAATATGAAAAATTTGGTGATAAATGAAAATGCATTTATATTAGACTGTGCTTATGATTATAGAACTCCAAAAATATGACAAAGCATGGAATACTCACTTGAAACATCATGGCTGGGCAGAGAGGCTCCTGACTTTGGGCTTCATAGAAGAAACTGAAGACAAACATGACAAGGTTTCACATATTATGCTCATTTTGGTTCAAATATATTTAAGACCATAAACACAAGGGGTTCTTATCATCAGTGGACAATGTTTAGTATGAAAGAAGTGTGCATTTAAGAAATTTTTGCACCAAAATTAACATTTAATTCCATATTTCTTATTTGATCTTGCAGACAGCTCCCAACACATCTTCCGTAGTGCAGGCTCCGCGCCCTGCAGGCGCTGGGAGAGGAGCTGGGCCTCCAGGTCGTGGTCCAGAGGGCCACTCCGCTCCTGCAGGGTCACCCATGACTGTGTCCTGTTGCGGCCCCCACCTGACTTGTCCCCGTTGCTCCACTTGTGCCCGCGGAAGACGCCAGGGTGGCAGGAACCCAGCAGGCCGGGTTGTTGGCGCTCACTTCCGCAGCGCCGACACCCACTGGCTCAGCTCATTCACACACTTGCACTGCAGGTGGGCGGTCTGGGGCCCGCCCGCGTCCTCCGTGTAGATGACCCGCATGACGAGGGAGCTGCAGAAGCTCTTCTCCACCTTTTCGGCCACCTGGATGTGGGCCAGCTTGAGGAGGGCGCTGTTCCTGGAGCCGGGCGTCTGGGAGAAGCTGAGGGCCTCGGTGGTGAGGGAGAAGCAGAGCTTCCTGAAGGAGGTGGCCAGGGGATCCTTGGCCTTGGTCCTGTGGACGAAAAGCGGCCCCTCCTTCACCGGCAGCACCTGCAAGCTCAGAGAAGGCTGCAGGTGCAGCTCCGCCTCCTCCTCCTCAATGTCCAAGAGCTTGGTGATGAAGTCCTTCAGCGGCCCCACGCCCGGCACACTGTGGGCTGCAGAGGCTCCATCCACGCCTCCTTGGCCCTGGGCACCATCGTGTCCGTGTTGCCCGCGTTCTGAATGGCTTGGGACAGCAGGAGCAGGGTACGACTGGTTCGGGCGTTCGCGTGCCGCTCCCGCAGGGAGAAGAGCTTGGGCGACATGATGGCCGGAGAGAAGAAGCGCGGACACACGAAGCCGGGGATGGCGAGGAGCCGCACGTTCTTACGCTGGGCGTTGGGGAAGAGCGGGTGGAAGGTGGCGCGGACCACGGCGGGGCATGCGCGAACCCAGCGACAGCTTGCGCTCAGCAGCGCCCTCAGGTGGGCGCGCAGCGTTTGTACACTCTGCTCCAGCACCTCAGCCTAGGTCTGCAGGCAGAGCAGCCCAGAGCACCATAGGTCCTTAACTTCCACCTTGCTGTTGCCCAGCTCCACGTACTTCTCTTCAAACACCCAGTCAAGGATGGGGCCCAGCACGCCTTGCAGATTCCACACCCTGCCACCTTCAGAAAAGACTCTGTAGAGTTGGAGGCCAGAGAGTTGCTGCAAAAGAGCAGTTGGCCTCGCTGTTGCAGCCCAGCTCCAGCTGGAACAGCAGGTCCAGGCATTCCATATATTGTAATTCCATATATTGCAATTCCATATACACTTAAAGAAATACTTCAATTTTCTTATTGAAACAATTTAAAAGATGTATTTAGCAACAATTTAAGGTAAAGCACTACCTCCTAAGTGCTCTACTTAGCGATTTTATGTACAGTAATACTCTACAAGTGGGATTAACTTCAAAAGAAACATGTAGGAACAAGGAAAATACACTACTACTAGTAAATAATTAACTTTACGTCAAATCTTCTAACAAAGCAAAAGAGAAAAGACAGTGTTACTTTTATTATATGCAGGGATAAATAAACCAGGTTTGATTGTCATTGCTATTTTCAAGATTCTGTGTCACTAAAATCCATATTAAAAGGGGTCACTATGAGAGAAACCCTTAGTATTGATGACAATAGATTTTTCAGCACATAATACACAATTACAAAGTGTTGTATTAAGCATTGTTCATGTGTTAAAGCATTGTTAATCCTCACAGTTCTGTGAGGTAGGTAACATATTAGGCGTCTTGTAAAGGAAGTAACTAAGTACAAGAAGGTCAAGTGATTTGCCTAAACTCATACAGCCCACCCACAGCAGACCCCAAATTCAAATCCAGGAATTCTGGCCAGAAGACAAGTTGTGATATGTACAGTAGATTTTACTTTTAAAAATAGTTTTAGGCCAGCGACACGGATTACTAGGCTAATCCTCCACCTGTGGCGCCAGCACTCCGGGTTCTATTCTCGATTGCTCCTCTTCCAGTCCAGCTCTCTGCTGTGGCCTGGGAAGGCAGTGGAGGATGGCCCAAGTGCTTGGACCCTGCACCTATATGGGAGACTGGAAGGAAGCACCTGCCTCCTGGCTTCAGATTGGTGTAGCATGCTGGCCGTGGCGGCCACTTGGGGAGTGAACCAATGGAAAAGGAAGACCTTTCTCTCTGTCTCTCTTTCTCTCTCTAACGCTGTCAAAAAAAGTAGATTTTTACTTTTAAGGGTTTTAAGCAGAAAGAGTATATAAGGGACAGGTATGAGGAAGAATAACATTAGTAACATTTTGGCTTGTTAGGATTTAAATACACAATAGATACCCAAAGAGAGATCTCAAGTAGGAGTGTGATATACTAATCTGAAATGAAGGAGGGTTCCTGGACTAGAGATACAAATTTGGAAGTCATTAGTACATACAAGGTGGTAAAAGTCATTAGAAAGAATATCAAAGTTGAGCTCTAGAAAAATTCCTTTTAAAAAGAGGGAAATGAGAACAAAAGAAATAGACTATGATGAATACACTAAAAAAGCAATAGAAAACTAGATAAATGAGTGATAGTTTTAATGCTTATTTCAGAATATTTATGATTAAGGCCAGCATTTGTCATTTTTGATTTTGGGATGATAGCCTTCTAACTAGGCTGCGGTAACATCTCATCGTGATTTTTATTCGCATTTCCCTGAATTTTTTTCATCTGTCTGTTGGCCATTTGTATTTCACCCTTTGAAAAATGCTTCTTCATGCCATTTATCCATTTTTTAACTGGAGTGTTTTGTTGTTAAATTTCTTAAGTTCCCTATATATTCTGGATTTTAATCTTTCATTGGATGCATATTTTGCAAATATTTTCTCCCATTATGTTGATTACCTCTTCACTTTGTTAATTATTTCATTTTTTGCAAGCAACTTCTTGTTTGATGTAATCACATTTGTCTATTTGTTTTTGTTTTATTACTATGCTTCTGGGATCTTACCCAAGAATTCTTTGCCTAGGCCAATATATTGTAGACTTTCCTCTACATTTTTCTCTAATAATGTGATGGTTTGGGGTATTAGGTTTAGATGCTTGATCCACTGTGAGTTTGATCAAACTTGTTTCAAACTTCAACATGTGAAATCCAACTTTCCAAATACTATTGTAGAAGAGATTGAATTCATTTTTAAAATATTATTTATCTATTTAAAAGACAGAGATACAGAGAGAAAAAGAGGGGGAGATGAGGGAGAGAGATAGAGAGAGGGAGGGAGAGAGAGAGGGAGAGAGAGGGAGAGAGAGGGAGAGAGAGGGAGAGAGAGAGAGAGAGAGAGAGGGAGAGAGAGAGAGAGAGAGAGAGAGAGAGAGAGAGAGAGAGAGAATGAATCTATTTACTGGTTCTCACCCCAAATGGTTTGGCTACAATGGCTGGGGCTGGGACAAACCAAAGCCAGGAGCTTGGAGGTTCTTCTGGGTCTTCCACATGGGTGTAAGGGCCCAAGGTGGACTGGAAGTGGCACAGCTGGGGCTTGAACCAACATGTATATGGGATGCAGAAACTGCAAGTAGAGGCTTAACCTTCTATGCCACAGCGCCAGCCTTAAGAGACTGAATTCTACCAAACTTTAAAGGAAGTACTGATTCCCATTATTATATTATTCAAAAGAATTGAAAAGGATCAATCCAAACCCATTCTTTGAGGTCAGCATTTCCTTAATTACAAAAGCAGAGAGATGTAATAAAAAGAACTATACTAGCCAGCGCCACGACTCAATAGGTTAATCCTCCACCTGCGGCACTGGCACACCGAGTTCTAGTCCTGGTTGGGGCACCAGATTCTGTCATGGTTGCTCCTCTTCCAGTCCAGCTCTCTGTTGTGGCCCAGGAGTGCAGTGGAGAATGGTCCAAGTGCTTCTGCTCTGCACCTGCATGGGAGACCAGGAGAAGCACCTGGCTTCTGCTTCAGATCTGCGCAGCCCTGGCTGTAGCAGCCATTTGGGGGGTGAACCAACAGAGGGAAGTCCTTTCTCTCTGTCTCTCTGTCTCTCACTGTCCATTCTGCCTGTCAAAAAAAGAACTATATACTAATATTCCTAGTGGACATAAATGCAAAAATTCTCAATAAAATAGTAACAAATAGAATCTAGCAATACATCAACAAGTTAATCTATCCAAAGTGGAATTTATCTGAGGGATGCTGGGGTGGTTCAACATAGCAAATCAATACATATGTTATTTAAAATCAGCAAAATGAAAGATAAAGCCATATGATTATCTCAATATGAAAACCTTTAAAAATTGCAGAGAAGAAACATACCATGACACAATCAAAGCAATATATGACTAAACCATAGGCAGCATCACATAGAATGGGGAGAAGCTGGGAGGAATTCTACTAAATCTGGAGCCAAGGACGACCATTTTCACCATTTTTTTCAATATACTTCTAGAAGTTTTAGCCAGAGACATTAGGTAAGAAAAACAAATCAAAGTGATATGAATTGGAATGAAAGAAGCACAATTACCCCAGTTTGCAGTTGATATGACCCTTTATATAGAGAAACTGAGAGACTCCAATAAAAGATGATTAGAAGGGGTGGTGCTGTGGTGCAGTGGGTTAATGCCCTGTCCTGAGGTGCCGGCATCCCATATGGCTGATGGTTCAAGTCTCAGCTGCTACTCTTCCAATTCAGCTCTCTGCTATTGCCTGGGAAACAAATAGAAGATGGCCCAAATCCTTGGGCTCCTGTACCCCATGTGGGAGACATGAAAGAAGCCCCTGGCTCCTGGCTTTGGATCAGCACAGCTCTGGCCTTTGTGGCCAACTGGGGGTGAACAAGTAGATGGAAGACATTTCTATCTTTCCCTCTCACTGTAAATCTACCTCCCAAATAAATAAATGCAATCTTTTATAAAAAGAGAAAGAAATAAAAGACACAAAAATATGAAAATATTCAATGTTCATAGACTGGAAAAATTAATATCATCAAAATGTCCATACTACCCCAAGTAATCAAAATATTCAAAGCAATCCCAATAAAGACACCAAGGACATTCTTCACAATTACATTAAAAAGGATCCTAAAATTCATATGGAAAAATAAAAGATCCCAAATATTTAAAGCAATCTTAAGTAAAAATGAAGCTTGATGCATCACAATACCGGATTTCAAGGCATAGTAGAGGGCTGTTATTTTTTTTTAACTTTTATTTAATGAATATAAATTTCCAAAGTACAGCTTATGGTTTACAATGGCTTCCCCCCCATAACTTCCCTCTAACCCGCAACCCTCCTCTTTCCCTCTCCCTCCGCCCTCCCATTCACATCAAGATTCATTTTCAATTCTCTTTATATACAGAAGATCAGTTTAGCATATATTAAGTAAAGATTTCAACAGTTTGCACCCACATAGAAACACAAAGTGAAAAATACTGTTTCAGTACTAGTTATAGCACTAAATCACAATGTACAGCACATTAAGGACAGAGATACTACATGAGGAGTAAGTGCACAGTGACTCCTGTTGTTGACTTAACAAATTGACACTCTTGTTTATGGCATCAGTAATCACCCTAGGCTCTTGTCATGAGTTGCCAATGCTATGGGAGCCTTCTGAGTTCACCAACTCTGATCATATGTAGACAAGGTCATAGTCAAAGTGGAAGTTCTCTCCTCCCTTCAGAGAAAGGTACCTCCTTCTTTGATGACCCATTCTTTCCACTGGGATCTCACTCTTGGAGATCTTTCATTTAGGTTTTTTTTTTCCCAGAGTGTCTTGGCTTTCCATGACTGCAATGCTCTCATGGGCTTTTCAGCCAGAACCGTGTGCCTTAAGGCTGATTCTGAGGCCAGAGTGCTGTTTAGGACATCTGCCATTCTATGGATCTGCTGTGTATCTCACTTTCCATGTTTGATTGTTCTCTCCCTTTTTGATTCTATCAGTTAGTATTTGCAGACACTAGTCTTGTATGTGATCCCTTTGGTTCTTAGTCCTATCATTATGATCAACTGTTAACAGAAATTGATCACTGGTACTAGTGAGATGGCATTGGTACATGCCACCTTGATGGGATTGAATTGGAAACCCCTGGTATGTTTCTAACTCTACCGTTTGAGGTAAGTCAGCTTGAGCATGTCCCGAATTGCACATCTCTTCCCTCTCTTATTCCCACTCTTATATTTAACAGTGATCACTTTTCAGTTAAGTTTCAGCACTTAAGAAGAATTGTGTATTGATTACAGTATTCAACCAAAAGTATTAAGTAGAACAAACAAAAGTACTAAGAAGGATAATGTATTAAGT